ACACTTCATATTAGAGAACCGTTTTTCTCCACATGGAAGTTCGAAATTTTGAAAATAGTAAACAGAACATGTGATCAATAAAAGTTACTTACCATATCAGTACTCCATCCAGCAGTGATACTTGAGATATCTCAAAGAACAGCTACTTAAAACATGCATACCTAAAAATTTCTCGCAACCTGAAAAAAATAGTGGCATTTGTAACATTGATATGTCCAGGATCTTTCGGAGATAAATACACTGGTACGGGCAAAGATGAAACATGACAGACCCAAATTTCATGCCCAATACAAGATACGGCAGCCTTTTGCATAGCTTACTGGTGTAGAACTAGAATGAATAAATTCAAAACAAAGGTTTCCTCTACTAAAGAAAGAGGTTAAATACAACGGAACTTCTAGTGCATCCCGAGCTTATCAAATATCATAATCCTAGTTAATCATAACTAGTCAAACCTAGTCTAAATCAAACAGATGGAGATGTAATTTCTATTCAGTTGAAGACTTTCCAGTTTTTGAGTTATTTTATGTCAAACTAATATATTTTATAGATTTAGACAATTGTAGGTTTATTTCCATATTCGGTTTCCTACCTTAGTTATGCTTAAATTAACCCTATATAAAGAGGCTTAATATCTGCTAATTCACACTTTGATACCAAGTACAAACATTTCTCTAACTCTCTCTCTTATGGTCCTCTCCCCATTCTACTCTCTCCCCTGATTCCCCCCCCCCCCCCCTCTCTTCTCTTCTCCCCTTATTTCCTTTTCTATCACAGTTTTATTGTTCATTACAGGCGTCTGTTGTCAGTTTGATATCAGAGGGGAAAAATTGACCTAGCTCTTTATGTTTTGTCCCCATTTTGTACACTTGGTAAGTTATAAATTGAAATTATTTAAAATAATTTGGACTGTCTCAACATTTCCTCCTATTGTTAACACCATCCGCGACTCATAGAGGAACTCTCTCAGCTACCCCTGGCACCTGGTCGATGCCATACTAGCTAGCATCAATCATCATTTTAAATACAATTATCACCATTCTAGAAACTATGTTGTAAACACCCATTATGCTAAAAGGAAATCAACTTAATACAACAAGACCTCCATGGTCGTCCCGATTGCAAGGCATTTCTCGTTGGGCTACATACTCTTGAATAATTCTTTAACTTGCACAACATAAGTGACAAGTCATAGCATTCAATTTTCTAGAGCGACATTCGTAGAGTATGCCAAGCATTTTTAGCTGTCACTATTGCTTAACATTGATCTTTTAGGCTAATGTCCTATCACATTGTGGGTGAGATGAAACAGATATCAAGCAACAAGTAAACCCTTGTTTATTGTTGGACTCGGTTCATCAATCCTTTTAGCAGCATAGGCAAGGTACGTCAACGGTTAGCAAATGTCTCCTTTTGAGGAGCTATTATAAGTTTGGATATTTATGAAACTCCTCATGTCAGAACTTTTAGTTTATAAATGGTTTGGATCCTGAAATCAAATGTCAAAATTTTGTAACAATTGAGTCTTTAAAAGAAAGCTACCACAAATAATTACATATAGAAAAGCTGTCTCTTTTCTAAATATGAATCATGCCTATCACCTGCCTTCAGACTCTCAACATTCTTGCCCCTAGCTTGTTCTCTAAGTCAAGAATGCGTCTTGTTGTGCTAGTCTTCCTAAAATACAAACACTCTCATGCCAATCTATGAAGCACGGATTTGGATACATAATTCGAATACTATACGATATATGTAAGTTGATACAACTTTTAAACAAAATTTAGAATACACGGATATGTATGTGTATATATAAAGAGGGTGTTTGGGGAGCCATTTTTATGTAAAAATGCATTTAGAAATAGTAAATTGATGAGAAATGTGTGGATGAAAAATAAGGAAAAATTTTTGATTTACGTGTAATATTATTTTAATGAAGAATGTGTGGTTGAAAAGAAAAGAAAGAAAAATGCATTTTGAAAAAAAAATGGGTACCAAACGGGGCCAAAAAATGTGTAGTATTTTTTCATAAATCAAATACAAAATTTAGCATAATTCACTATTATAAAAAAAATTAAAATATAAGCCTAAAATAAAATACCAGGGCACTTTATCTTAATTCTTAATTATCCCAATTTCATTTTCTTCAACATCTTCACCATCAGATTCTTCATTATCAATAAAATAACACTAGCTCATCTAGTGATTGATTAGCAACCTTAATCAACCCAACACCTTCAAGAGTATCAAATGAGTCTTTGGCAATGTCCCACATTTTGGATTCTCTTAAACAAAAATTTATTCATGATAAAAGCCACAAATTGCTATGAATAAAAACTAATTCTTTAACTAATTGTATAATTATTTTATTTTTCATAAGAGTGCACAAAAGAGTATGTGTTCCTTGTTAATTAATAAATATTATCAATTTTCAATAAATCATTGATAATAATAATAATAGTTATCTATTAAGTTAAAAAATTGTTTTCTATTGCCAATACTAATATAATGAGTTCTAAAAGAGTTTAAAATCAATAGAACTCTTCTTCTCACATGTCCTAAGGTGTTTGATAATGTATCAAAAATTTAAAAATATTACATATCGTAGAGTGTTCAAGTGTATCCGAATTAAATACGTATTTAATACGAATAGGCAATAAGTTTTCTTAGATGCTAATCTACACCTACTTTGAACAAGAGTGATATATTTGCTTTCTTCACTACTTATTAATCTACTTAAAAGTTTCGGTCCTGATTGTCTTTGTAGCAACCCAAAAATAATAATAATAATAATAATAATAATAATAATAATAATAATAATAATAATTGAATAAGAAAAAAAATAATTTGTTTATTACATTTTTAAAAGTTGGGGACTAAAATGGAATAGGATTTTAATTTCTATTTTAGTTAGATTTAATAATCAGATAATGATGGAACAAGATTTGGTATATCGATATTGGATTCGTTTCGAAGGTCGTAATTTTATGAAGTCATTGGCTCGAGAAAAAATTAATTTGGATAAGTTAAGTCAAAGATATTAAAGTTTAAAGAAGTTGTCTTTATCAATATTTGTTAATTAGTTAGGTAGTTGGTACCACATGTGAGTGGCCACAACTACAATTGCTTTTCCACTATATTCTATCTTATTTTATTAGAATAATTAGTCAATTCAAACTCCAATAGGTGATACACATTTTCTATTATAACTCAACCATCTTTTATTAATATATATACTATACAAGGGTCTCATGTTTCACCACACAAAAAAATTTACACACGAGAGAGAGGATTCTTTTGGGAGTTAGACGACAAGAAGCCAATTTACAACGATTATTCACTAAAGTAGAGAAAAGATTTTGAGCACGTGCATTCATTTTTTAATTTTATTTAGTGAGGTAATATACTTTGTACAAGTGTTTTCGTTTCCTTATATTTTTATATTCAATTAAATATCATGATTGCCAGTAGACCTTTAAGTTCTTTTAAAGAGACGAAATCTTAAAGGATTAAAGAAGAGCTAAGATGAGTGTGTCACTTGATCACCGATATACTCCATGAGAGTAGAATGGTATGAAGTGTAGATGTTATTTGTTATATAATTGCGTATAAAAACTGCACGGATCTTACTAGGTGTTTTCGAATACTCTTACAAATTTTTACAGGTTAGTTCGGGTCAATTGGAGTTGTGGTGGAATGGTAATGCGGACTGTCAAGTGAATCGAAGAAAGGAAAAAGATATTAAACATTTAGTTTGTTTCTTTTCATGTCTCAATTTAATTGTTAGTTTTATTTGTTCAAAAGACTCATTTGCTTAATTAATCCATTGATTGTGTTTAAATTTTTAGAAACTCAGATTTCGCATTTAAATTGATATTTATGGTTGAAAATAAAGAATTTATTTGATTTGTGTCGTTCCGCATTTATTAAAAAGAAAATTGAATTTTTTGTAACACTCTAGTTTTAATATATATAAAAAAAAATTTGGGGCGTTAGAGTCTTGCTGATGTACATAGACATTTACAAATCTAGACAATCAATTTTCATACCTCATTTCTAAATGAAGATGAGATACTTGTTGATCAGATAGAACGTTAAGATAGTGTTTTTTTTTTTTTTAATGACCGTAAGCGTCTAGCCAATTTACGCGCATCTAGACTAATTCCATAGGGCCCTAAAGTTTACAGTCGAGTACTCACCTGAGTGACTCTAAGGGACTTGAGCTGGTGACCATTGAGGAGCAAACCAAAGGCCTAACTACTGAACAACCCCTCAGGGTCCAAATACTGGGAATAAGAGTTCTAAGCCTCGTATTATGTCTCTTCTTGTGATTACACCTTTTATTTACACACTTGAGGGATTACCTAAAGAGTTTCCACCTATGGAAATCACGTCCTCAACCCAGTATCCAAATCATTTTCACCTAGTCCTTTTACATAGACTTTCATATTAACTTTGTTTTGGAGTTTTGTAAAGCAATCCTCCACTTGCATACATTGTTACCATTAATGACAATTGCATTGTTCCAGCTTCAACCTTTGATATCCCTATTCATAATTTTAATGATGATGTAAAAGGCAGAGTGCATGTACTTTAATTGGAAATACTCTTATTTGTTTCGTGTTTCTTCAACACGTGATCCTAAACATGATAAGAAAAAGTTTATTGATCACTTGAAAATAATGTGTTTGATGAGCCATTGCACTTGCTTGAAAATTCTACTTTATATAACGAACTTGTTCTTATCGGGGCACATTCAACCCACCTGTATTGCAATCAATTGTTTCTGCATGCCAATTTAGACTACACATTCTTTGTGCTACTTCTCATTCTGTGGAATCCAATGTTTTGTAGATGAGTTACACAATTTTTTGCTAATGGGAGGCCAACATCGATGTAAGATGTTGCAGGCTATTTCACCATAGTCAAATTCTCACAATCAATGAGAACGATGGAGATCCTAACTAATAGTCAATTGAAAACTATCCAAGTTTCGAGTTATGTTATTTCAAAATATTGTATTTTAGTTTGACAATTATAGGTTTATTTCCTCTCTTCTTTGACAATTATATTCTTCAATGTAGGGATGGCAACAGGGCCGGGGGGGGAGGGGGGGCGAGCATTTTCTAGTCCTGTACCCGTCTCGTCACCTATTTAAGGCAAGGCAGGGCAGGTTGGGGCGAGGCATTTGCCCCATTTATATACCTGTTTAATTTTTTTTAAGCTTTTGATAATTTGTTCTATTGCGCCCATTCATTAAAGTGAGACAATAATAAAGTTATTAAATTTTTTAATTAATTAATTAATTTTTAGAAGTTAAATTATTCGAATATATTTTGTAAACTAAGATTTTTATTGTTTATTATATTTCTTAAATAATCTTAATTGCCATGTTCTATTAAAATTAATGAAATTTCGTGAAATTTTCCATTTATAGTATTAAATTAAATTCTTAAAAAAATAAATTAATTAAACAAGACGGGGGCGGAGCCCTATTACCCATACCTACCCGGGGCAGAATGCCCCTCGTCCCTGACCCGATTGGGAGCAGTTAATCCCCGAAAGTATAGGGTTTGACAAGTTATTTTGCCATTGCTATTCATGTGAGCATCCATCATCACATACTCTATTTAAACCCTATTTTTCCCATGTATATTTTCAATTTCCCATAACTTACATTCAATTTAGAACTAGAGAGTGGCCAACAATCACTTGTTATATTCATGATTCTACTTAGAACCCGACTGGGTATATAGAGAAAACAACTATGATTAGTTATTCATGTTTTAAACTAAATCTTAAACTCAATTAGACTGACGTGATTACACTACCATGATCTTGCATTTTCTTTAGTTAGCTCAATGAAAGGTAGAATTAAATTATTCATATAATTATATCTCATTTAATGCTACATTAGTGCCTTCTAGACTGGTGTCAATAGTGCCAAATAATATTATTCTAAAACTAGAGGCATGAAATCTTACATTTGAAATGTACTTATTTTGGCACGGATGAGGAAGCAATGTGTTCCACAACTTTCCATTGAGGCCTTGCTGCATCTGACGAAGGAATCCCATTATTTAAAATTGACTTGAGCCATTTAACTTTGTTCACAAGTTCCTCCAAGTCCAATATAGTCGACTCCAATGTCTTGGAGCCCATGGAATTTGAATTCATCCCTCCGCCAGCTGGGTACTTCTTCAGGGGACAACTGGAACAATATGGGTCCCCCTTGGCAACTTCAGTCGTAGGTTCAGCTAGAGTCTCTCTCATATGTAAACCAGAATCGGTATCCGACAAACATGTTTTCCTTGTACTACTGTCCCCACCATCTAAGGCAATACTTGTTTCTTGAGTGTCCAGCTCTTTCGAAACTCTGTTTCCCAAAGATAGTTCATGTAACCCCCCCATTTCATTTCCCTTCAGTTCATCTGAAACTGCTAAAGTTATGACTGAAGTATGAGAAGAGATGGATTCATTAGGTGACGATTCAGTTTTCTCGTCTTTCTTGTCACCGGCCTCTAATTCCTGACCTGATTTATTGGGTATCCAAAATTTGAATGTCAAGCAAATCAAGTTCATATCTAAGGAAACCTAATCATTGGAATAACTGAAAAAGAGGGAATTTCCACTTACAAAAAGCAGAATACTATTAGAATAGCAGGAATGGTTCAAGTTAAAGACAATTAAATGACAAGTTTGTCTCCTAGTTTTATATAATCAGCAGAGGAGTCAACGATCAATGGGATGGACATAAAATTTATCAGCAGTAAAACAACTATCAGATTTCTTTCCTCAAGTAATGGACTGTCAGGGTAGTGACCAGTTTTTTTCCTTCTGGGTTATGCTGCTAATAAAAATTCCAAATGTGCACCAAGCATCCTAAAGATAAATTTCATCAAGCTCAGAAAAGAAGAGTGTGTTTGGCTATGATTTAAAAAATAGGGGTTACTTTTAAGCAACTTTTTAAAACCAAACATATTCAGATAATTTACTTTTTTCTAACTTTCTGATAAAAAGGATTCATCATTATGCTAGGCAGTATTTTAGAGAATTTCTTTTCTATTCTATTAATATTTTAAGCAAAAGGGTCAACCAAAACATTACCACCTAAAGCTACAGAACATTATTGCACACCCGAGGTGAGAACCAAACGTAATAACTGACAAACACTAGGTATACAAATTGTAAGCCTTCACTTGGCACATTCTGGAAAACTTTGGACACAAGGCTACATATTATCCTTGAAAAACATGGATCTAGATATTTCATTTAACATTGATCTTACCTTGATCTCCAGATTTAATAAGCCGAGCCCAAGGGCGAGCAGTTTTTTCACCTCCCTGCAATGGAGCATAACATTGGATAAATATTCTAAATAGTCTTAAGAGGGAGCATATGATGCCTACACACAAAAGAAGTATGAAATATGCTCAGGCAAAAAATAAATTTGTCTAAACGGTCGAAAAGCAAAAAAACATGCAGAACTCACGGATTTAATAAATTAATACAAACAGAAGTAATGAAAAAATAAATAAATAACAACTAAGTCAGAATGCATCAGTTCACAAGCATCAATTCTACAATTCTCTGTCAGTTTAAAGGTGAAAATTAAGATTTAAATCAAAAACTTGATACAAGTGAATATCCGAATAGATTTTAAGCAGAAAATCAAGGGCAGGAACCATCTTTTCCCAACAAATTTATTAAATTTTCTCATCATGTTACATGGAGAAACCAGCGTGAAACAGAAACTTAAGAACAATGGTTGAAGTAACAACTACAAGTTTTTTCATAAGACCACTTCCAATTCATAAAGACAATAGTTTTGTCTTCCAGTAGCATTATAAATGAAGAATGCAAAGAAAGCAAATGGAATGGGGAAATACTAGAAAGTACATCAGTTGTCATTTATATGTCATATGGAATGCAAAAATAAAATGATGATGCAAGATTTGAACTGATTATTCCTCAGCATGATGTTATTGGTAATATCACACAATCTAAATTATAGAACATCTTTTTTTCTTGCAACTACATTTTCTTATATTTACTTTTAGCTACGCAAAATTTACAAGTCAAAACAAACTGTTGATCCCTGAAAAGGAAACCCACATGCTTCCCTTTTAACACAAAGTTACAGAAAGCGCTACCTAACTTCTACTGATTGGTTTCCTTTATCTTAGCAAAACGATTCAGAAGTAAGAGCACAACAAAATGCTAGTACATCATATGCACACCGAGGATATCTTGTGCCTGATTAGTTTCAATAGATAATACTAATTCTATGGTGATAGTCTCAACAGGCATACAAATCATATTTATATAAGATTTATGAATAGAAGTATCAAGATGAAATAAAATTATCATCAAGAGAAATAAGTCAGATACAATCTACACAACATGTGCATTTAGAAGAGTAAAGATAGTTACCGGAGTAGGCAGAATCCAACCATATTCTGGAGACCAGTCCAAAGAAGGGCGCAGATCTTTGAGAGAAGCTTTTTCATCAGGTGTGCCTTCGCCCAAAGGTGGTTTTGGAAACTCAATCTAAAGAAACAAAAATACAAATAAGAATAACCATTTTCATCATCAGGGTTGTTCCACACACATGGGGTTAGGGGTGGAGAAAACCACACATTTTTCAATAAAATAATATTACACACAATCCCAAAACTATTACTTATTTTTTAACCACACATTTTCAATCAATCTACTATTCCAAAATGTATTCTTAGCCAAAAATGGGGCTCAAACAAACACTAAATATTTATCATACCGATTGTATTTTCCCACTCTAATTAAATGATATTGTCAAATACCTCTCCGTGAGGTTAGATCATAATATATTTTTGGTGTAATAATATCTATCTGATGACACGACTATGAGTAAGTATACACGAGAACACGCAGATGATGATCTTAATCCTACCCAAACTATATTAGACTTGTAAAGTCCATCAACATTAACCACTATAATGCCTTGAACATGAGAAAATGATACAAACTGAAAAAGAAAGTTATAGTAAAAGAGATTGACACTCATCAAGATAGACGGGAACCATCCTTGGCCACATAGAATGGCAAATTACAAATTTATTTTCTTTGCAAATGGAGACACATCTATAACTTTGTATATGGTGAACAAATTACAGTGTCTTCGACACTTAAGTTTGCACAAACCAACAAAAGGAAATACTGGAGTTTGTCCAACCTTTTAGATAGATTGTGAAAGTAGTTATTCTGGCAAGAAAGGTTATGATCGGTGCATATGTGTTAAGTATCATATACATACAACATCGTATATATAACAAACGATTCTAGAAAGAAATAAAGCTTTCTTATGACCAAGCTTAATCTTGTTCAAATTTGCACTTCATCTGAAACTGAATGTTAGTTACTCATGACACGAGGACATTGTCAATTTCGACAGTCAAATGCAGAAGCGAAAACCAGTTGAAAATTATTACCATGGCCTTGTCATCACCTACTAACTGTTTTATTCTTCCAGACCAGTAGCAATCATTAGTCCACCATTCAACCAAATCCCCCACCTTCCAAGCATCATTAACAATTACCGCCACTTCTAAAATATCACTGAGACAAGGCACCTCGTTTTCATGATACATAGGTGGGTAGGATGGCCGAATCATCAACATTCTTTGTTTCTTTTTCTCTATCCCTCTGTAAGGAACAGGGACCTGATATGGATTCATCAGCCCTAACTCTGTAGACAGGCAACGGAATCAACAATTAAATAGAAATTATATTCAAACAATGACTCGCAGTCAAGATTGCAACTTTTAAAATAAAAGATTAACTTTTAGTCATTATTCATCATAACATCTGTACTTTTAGTCATCTTCAAACCACAGTACTCCTAATTATAAACAATACTCATCACATAATATCTGTACATAGTGCCAAATGATACGTGAGTGGGAATCAGGTTCCACTTTTGACATACTCACAGCTGGCTTCATGAATTGAAAATATTAAAATTCTTGAGAAACATGAAACAATAATGCTCGTGCCATCCCAGATTTAGTGATTCCATTACCTTTTCAGGTCAAGAGATAATGTCTCAC